TCCGTCTGCGCCCGTCTCCTCTCTACAACTCGAATACACCATACGTATATTTGCCAAAAGAAAGCTTTTGAGACTTGGGAAAGGAATTTCTATCTGTTGGGTGCAGGTACGGTAGCTCCGCTCAACCCACCGCTTTTCGTCCAGGTCGGGGGTGGGAGAACGCAGCCGGCCACGGACCTCCATGAGCTCGGTCTTGGCTCCATCGCAGCCGGCCACGTCTGCGAACTTGGTCTTGGTGTCGCCGTCCTTGATGATCCGAGCCTCGCGAGGAACTTCACACCTTCACACGGCGACCGCGAGGTTGTTGTTGTTGTTGTTGCTGTTGTTTGTTTGATAGTTTTGGGGAGTCAATCACAGTCTGGCGGACTCTGGTGAGTCAGTCGTTTTCGGGAAACGAAAACCACCACGGCTGAGTTGGCAAAAACGATGCTTTTCAGTGCAAACCACGAGGTTTTTAGGACTTTTTAGGTCAATGCTTTGGACATACAGTATCCGTGGATCCCCCCAAAACCACCCAGCCAGCGATTGACTTGTTCCTCTCTGTATGGTATATACTGTAGCATCTGTAGCCATGCTTGTACAATTCTCTATCATTATACTTGCTTGTGTTTCTTTTCCTGAGCCTCACCCCGTTTCTCACCCACAGCACAGGTCTCGATTCCATCATTTTTTGCAACCAGGGGCTGTTGCGTCATGGTCTAAAGTTGAAAAATAAATAAAAGCCCAGCCACGCTCCGGAGTTTCTCCGGGTTGAGGAGCAGGGAGACATCGGAAAAAATGATTGAAAAATGGCATATGCGATTCATGTCATGGTTCTGTCTTTGTAAGGCACTTTGCCTGGCTCTTTTTGGGGGAATGGTTCTGTGCCAATTGAACAGATTGATGTTCGTGTTGTAGTCTTCAGACTGCTTCTCGGTGGCAAAAAAATGGTATTAGCCCAGAGCGCTTAACACACGGACACGCTGCCAAGCTGGTAAGAACATGGTCAAAGGCCCTTCCCTGGCAACAAGCTGCGAAGTTGGCCACTTGAATTAAAAGGTCGCTCCACACGCAGGCTATCAAAGGCCACGTCCTGTGTGAAGGTTTCATCTTTCAAATTCAAGCTACTGAGGACCCAAATTCCGTGGTAAAACCAGCTGATTGCGAATTGGAAGCTGAAGGCCATGGATTGTCAGGATGAATGCATTGTTTCGCGTTCGGTCCTCGAAGGTGTCCATGTATTCCTGAAGCAAATCGGATACCGGCGGTTTGGTCTTCCATGTGTGGAACATGTATGCCTTTTCATCATCAAAATCAGCAAACAGGGACACATGCATAGTGGCGGAGTTGAAAGATTAGGTATTGATGGGTTCTCGAAGAAAACACCCTGAGAGAAATGAACTGAGAAGTATCGATCCGGATCTTGAGCGTGATGAAAAACCTGTGATTCAGTGATGTCGGTGCTCTTTGGATGGTTCCCCTATGTTCCCCTAAACTGAAATCAAAAAATCTACGACATTCTACGACCATGAGAGGTTTCGCGCTCTCCCCAGCACATCCGTTTAACCCGTTCACGCTCTTCTTTGGGGTCACAAAGTGAGTTAAGATGAGTTTAAGTGATCAACAAACGGGGGGCTCCATGATCAGCAAAGCAATGAAAAAGTAATTTGACAAATCAGAGTCTTTGATGTCTTGATCTTCCTCTGCTGGCTGCATGAGCGGCCAGCTTTTGGATCGGGTCACCATTGGGTCTCGCTTCAACTCAATGAATGTCCCTTGACAGCACCAGGATGCTCTCGCTCTTCCAGCCATGCTCGCGCTAGAAACCAGCGGACTCCACGCTGGATGTTTTTATCGTTTTTTTTTAAGCCTTGAAAAATCATACTGCGGCGGATGTACGTGGGCACAATCCCACCACGGACCACGAAGGTGTTACTGGCCGAACAGGTGGTACAGACACCGACCGCCGAAAAGCGAAGAATCCCACGACTCGTTTCGTCCACTGGCCGAACAGAACACGGGCCCCCCCTGGTTCGGAGACCAAAAACCAAACGTTTCACAGGTGGATCATGGTGGAACTGCTCCCATCCTTTTCGTTTCGCCGAACCCAGCGGCTTCGTTCACATGTTCACCCAGTTTCGCCGGACCCGGGCGAAGTGTTCGTGACCGGGGCGTTGGTGACCGTCATTGACCGGTTTGGCCTATCGTTTAGGTCCGGTTCAACAGTAGGCGCCTCTTCAGTACCCACCTTCACCAAAATGGGGCAAAGATCCGATTTCGGTCCCCGGAGTCGGTTTTTTCCAAGTTGGACTCCCGACCAGCAGCTCCTTCCTTGCCGACCAGTCACAGCTCCTTCTATCCACCCCTCCCTGGACCCCTCAACGGGTCAGAAGTATACACACACCGAACTGCCTTGGATTTGCCAAGCTCGAAGGGGTTCCCGCCCGGGCCGCCCGCGCCCGGGCCGCCGAAGGGCCTAGGTGGTTGGTGGTTGGCCATGGGAATGTGAAACTCTTACAGATTGTTTTGCAGCACGATCGGGGTAATGTAGTACTTCTGAAGAGCTGGTAGCACCACTGTGTTCCGATTCTTCTGGAGGGGTACATAAATTCCTCTGGTATCTCGCTGGTAAATGCTGGATGGACAAGTTCAATCAAATTCAAGGCCTGCCAGGCATTGGCGTTCGATGGAGTTTCGACATACCCGGGCGGACAAAGCCGACTCAAGATCATGGAAAACAGATCCCTGAGATCCTTAAGCACCTTGTTGCATTGAAAATGCGGCGCATTTGCATGGAATCCATGACCCACAGAGGATCATGACCCCATTTCACGCGCGTTGCCTAATGTAGTTCCTTGATTAATCAACCCCCCGCCGCCCCCCCCCCTCAACAACCAAGGCCTCCAATATAATCTACAAGAAAACTAATCAAAGGACAAAAACAATTAGAATCCTTTTAAAATCTTCTTGGCCTTGTCTGGCCAAAATTAAAAATAAAAGGGAATCAATGAAATCTCAAATTGAAGACATCTGGAATACTAAAATAAAAGGACATCAATAAAGTTGAAATGAAATTCTCAATATTTTAATGGAAATCTGAATCCAAAGACCTTTAAAAGCATCCAATACTTTTGAATAAGGGTTTTGTAAAAGAAAGTGTACACTGACTTTTGGAAACTTTTGGAAAGCTTAAAGACTAAAGAGCTTAGGTAAGTAAACCAAATCAAAAGGAAAAGAAAGGGCATGAATACAAGTTTACTTAAAGCAAAATATTTTTTGAAGCCTGAAATCTCTAGACATTATTCTAGGCCCCACCCCTAAATAATGTCAGAAAGCTGCTTGCTGGACTACCCCCTTTGCTTGAATGATCTTTTGTTTTTTCAATAATTTTGAATAAGCGATGTTGTAAAGAAAGTATGCACTGACTTTTGGAAAGTTTTGGAAAGCTTAAAGACTAGAGAGCTTGGGTAAGTAAAGCCTCCAAAAGCATCAAATTGCAATGGAAATCTCTAAATGTTGTATAGAAATCTCCATCCAAAAGCCTCCAAAAGCATTAAATCTCAATGGGAATCTTCAAATGTTTAATAGAAATCTCCATCCCAAAGCCTGTAAGATAAGCAAATCCCAGCAAACTCAAAAGGGAAAAAAAACTATAACAACAAGATGGAGCCCACGAACCCGAATGCAAACACGTTCAAAAAGCTATATATGTCCAAATGACACTCTTGTAGGACACTCTTGTGGGACACTCTTGTGGGTCACTCTTGTAGGAAACTCTTGTGGGACACTCTTACGGGACACTCTTGTGGGACACTCTTGTGGGACACTCTTGTGGGACACTGTTGCGGGACACTCTTGTGGGACACTCCTGTGGGACACTCATTTGGGACACTCTTGCGGGACACTCT